TGCACATGGCCTTATATCATCTGTTCATATTAAATTAAAAATTGAACAAGGTGAAACCTATTCACCTCTACTTTGAAAAATCTACTATGATCCTATTCTTACCTTTATTTACAACAAATATAACAACCACCTACTCAAAATTACCTCCTCTTTACCTCTTAATATCATTTCAAACATTCTATCATCTTCTATAACAATACCTTCTATGGCCTTTATGGATGACATTGTTTGGCACAGTGAAAGTTCTGAATCTCTTCAAAATATTTTTAATAATACTCAAAAACTTTACAATTTAAATAATATTAAAATTAATTCAACTAAATCTGACCTTTTATATATTTCTCAAAACAAAAACAAACTAAATCTTATTATACAAAATCTTTATTACAATAATTAAATAATATCTTTATGTAAGTCTTATGAAACTATACAATACCTTGGTATCTATTTTGATGAAAATAGTTCAACTAAACCAATATATGAAATGCTTCAAACCAAAATCAAAACCTTTCTTGCTCTAATTAAATTCAAAAAACTCTTACCTAAACAAATCTTTACTCTTTTCAATATAATACTACAACTATCTTTAGAATATTTATTACAAATCTTGTTAATTTCAAAAATACAATAACAAAAACTCTTATGTTTACTCTTTATTACAACAAAAAAAAATGCTTCACCTTGTAAAAAATACATCTAATATTCTTCTTACTAATTTATTATCATTTAAACTTTTAACTCTTTAACATTTAACTCAAAAAGTAGTAATATTTATAATAGAACACATTTTTCATACTATTCCTCTTCTAAAACATATTGGCATAGCCAGAATTAAAATTTGGCTAACTAAAATATAGCAACTCTTCTTTCTTCTAAATACTGCTTCTAAGTTTTTATTAAAAACAAAAAACTTTACATTTATCTTCCAACTTTCACTTTTAAATAACTCCAATATTTTTCTTTCATTTAATAACTCACTAAACTTACTACCAACTAATATTCTATATCTACAAAAACAATATATAATATTCTTCTACCTAATAATTCTTATTCACTAATTAACAGCCTTTAAAACAATAAAATACTCTTTATTAAACAACTTACAATAGCTGATAATTTATATATCCTTCTATAGAACAACATATACATACATACCAAAAAATCTACTCATGGACCTACACCATCTTGGTTTACTAAACTCTCTAATCTTATTCAAAACAATACAGTTTCTCAAACATGACTACATCTTAACTTACTAAATATTAATACCTTTATCAATTTTTTTAATACAATCATTTCTTATCACTATTACTATTAAATAAATGGTTGATTGTTTTTAATAACTCACAAATTCTCTTTATGAAAAATTCACATAACTTTTTCTCCTTTAATAACATCTCTTTTGGTTTAATATCCCTAATTCCTATTAACTTACTTATACCAATATTTCAAACTTCTATTAATATTTCTTATATTAAATCATTAAAAAAGAATAACAACTATTTACTCTATATTGACAATCAAGAAATTCATGCACTTATTAATATCCAACAACATGTAATTTCAACCTTGATAATACCTTAATTATCAACTATTTATATTCCTGATACAGAAATTCAAATAATCTAAAAAAACATATCTTTTTCTCATTATCAAAACCAACCTACTAATCTATTTCTATTAAGTAAAAATGTTTCAAATAATATGCATTTCTATACGGATGCTTCAATTATTAATGCACAACACTATATTTAAAATTTGGTATTGGATAGATCTCTGAACATAATACTTAAATTAAATTTAACTATGCAATATCTTTATACTTTGACTCTACTCGAGCAGAACTTAAAGCAATTGTTTATTTTCTACTAATTCTCTCAATAAACTCACTAAGTAATATACATCTCAACAATCTATCAGCTCTAAAAAACATCCAATTATTTTCTTCTTTATACAAATTCTTACATATTAAAAACTAGGTTATTTTATTTATTATCCATCATTTTATTCAAACTAAATCTTTCAAAATCTCCTTTTACAAAGTTAAATCTCACTTTAATAATTTCTTTTATAATTAAGCTAATCTCTTAGCTAAACAGGATACCTCTAAACACTTAATTAAATCCAACTTTACAACATTACTTTCTGATCATTTTATATGGCATAATTATACAATACCTACTAAAACCTGACTATTCCTACAAAATACAATTACTATACAATCATTTCTTTCTTGGTCACAACTTAAATCCTTCTAAAACCTATTCTCTATTAAATAGTTAACAAATGTTGACATTATTAATTCTTTAAATAATGATCAAAAATTTTATATCTTTCACTTTAAAATTATTAATAACAACCTACCTACTATGCAAAATCTTAACTTATTATATTCATTCTTATATACTACTTCAAATTGTGTCTATTGCCAAACTTTTGAAGATATATCACATCTCTTTACATGTTCTAAACAAAAATATAATCTTCAACAAATTCTTCAAACTTTAATTTCAAATACTACTTAGCAATTAAATATCTCTTCTGAACTTTCAGATAAAATCTATATTATCTTGTCACAACAAACAAACACTTCACTACATTCTCATTTTTTTAATCTTATCGAAGGCCTCTTCTCTATATTTTACTACAACAATATTAAAATATTACTTCATAAAACAATATCTTTCTTCTTTATAGTCCTATTAAATGCTACTCTAAATTGGTTTCATCAACATATATGGCTATTATATAACATTCTTCAACAACAATAAAAAAAAGCTTACAATATAACTAAAAAGTCTAAATGTTTAAAAATATATTCTTTAACTCTACCTTCTCAATCTAATTCTAATACTACCAATATACCTACTATTAATTCAACTATATCTATTAAAAACTGGTTAATTCTAGGCTATATATTTACTAACTGTATTTACTAAATGCCAAGACTATCACTTTAGGTTTTCTTCAACCTTTTTATGCTTAAAATTAATTTGAAATAATTAATAATAGTGTTATATAAAAATGGAAATGTAATGTCACATTGGGTGTCTTAAATAAGTAGTACAAATGTAGTTTAGAAATCTTTAATGTAATTACTTCTATTACCTAATAAAGTTTCTACTTTGGCATAACAAAAAAATAAAAAAATAAAAAATAAACATCTGCTTTTATTAGTTAAAGTAATAAAAAAATGTCTTTTGTGAATATTGATCTCTATAAACTTTCAAAAAGCATATCATTAAAAGATGTAATTGATTTATTTCTAATGGTATATAAAGAAAAATATAAAAGTATTTCAAGAAGTAAAAATTCCTATTCAAGTAATTCTAGTTATTAATAAAATCCACCAAGAAAGTTTATCTAATAAGAAACTATCTTAAACAAAATAATACCATCAAACCCAAATATTTTTACCAAAAATACAATGATTGTTATTTTAACTAAGGATATACCAAATTTAATTGGCATTATAAAATATGCACATAATGTTTACAAGTTGATCTACATATATATTATGTTTTTTGTAAATCATTTATAAACTTCTGCAGATATGTATTCTAATATGCATTAGTATATCTAACAAGATTCAAAAATAATAATAAAATCAAAATCTGGGCCAAATATTTATTCTATTGTGATAAGTATAATGAAAATGCATTTTAAAAACACTTAAAAATATGTCCAAAGTCATCAGCAGTAATCTTAAGATTGTATTTTTGAAAATAAATCTACATCCTGTCAAGTTGAATACAATAATAACTACATTAAAATTTATTGATCTTAGAAAGAAACTATATGTAAATTGTGATAAGATTCATGATAATGCAAAACTATATATTTCAAAAAGGACAAAATACTGTTACAATTGTAGGAAGTTTGGATATATCATGCAAAACTGTTCAAAGGTACAATGTTGAAAATGTAATGAACTTGGTTATCTCAAAACAGATTGTAGTTATTAATAGTTAAAATTGTAGATTAACACTTATACACTACCAAACTGAAGTAATTAGATCAGTTAATGGTTAACTTTAACATTAAGACTAATGTTAATATATTCATTAATGTTAAGTTAAATATTAAAGTTAACTATCAAATAGTCTTATTAACTATATTTGATCTGTGATGTATGAATGTTAATTATTTCTTTTTTTATTTAATTGTTTATTTAACAAATTTATATATAATAAAATAACTATAAATAACTAAGTAAAAGTGTATTGAAAAATTAACTATAACAATGTTCAAATTACAGAACATCTAATTATATCCTACTTTAATAAAAAAACTTGCACATTATATAATTATAAGATCAAATACAATAGTGGTATCACTTTTATAAAAAGATATTTTATTAATAAGCATAATAATAAATGGCTTAGTATTTGTAAACATGAATTTATTGGAGGTAGAATTTCAAATAAGAAACATCTAGTTGAGAAATATTTTTATGAAAAGAAATGTGTTATATGTAATTATAAATTTTGAGTTTATCCAAAACTTTTAACTATAAAAAAACACTTTATAAATATTTATAAAACAAAGTGAAATATATTCATTAAGTCAAAAAAGTTTATGATTAAGTTAACACAAAAAAGAACTTAAACTCAAGTTGTTAAAAAACTAATTACAAATTTCATTGTTCAAATTAAAGAAACAAAAGAGTTAAAATCTAAATTTAAGAATACTGTTCTAAAAAAAACCCCAAAGTAGTTAAAAAGCTTCTCAGGAAACCTATTACTGTTAAAGAACAAAAATTACTCTTATTTAGTCATAATAACCAAATTGCAAATTACTATTTTAACCAATATAATATGCTAAATATATATAAATGTAATATCTATTATGAGGTAGTCCAACTAGAATTAGTCTTTTTGTATATAAGATTTAGATATAAGAAAAGATTTTTAAATGATTCTGATAAATTTGAAATAATATATAACTTTATAAAATATATAAATAAAGCAATTCTAAACTTAAGTTAACTTATAAAAAAAATGTTTAAAACAACTTTTGCTAAAGTATCATTGATTAAACATGTCATTGAATTAACAAGAAAGCTAGTTACTAATATTAATATTGAGTTTACAAAATCTGGTATCAACTTTACAAGCATAGATTTATCATACATTGTACTCATCTCTGTTCATCTTGATAAAAAAAGTTTTGAAAAATATGTTTATAACAAGAATGAAATTATTGACATAAATTTTGATTATATAAACAAAATATTTAGTTATATGAAGAATAATAATACTTTTATACTTAAACTAAGAAATTTGAATTTTCTAAGTATACTATATAGGGGTTTTAATGATTCTAGTAAAACTAAGTATGAAATTAAATATTGACCAGAAAAGAATTTCTATCCTATCTACTAACCACAGTGTAATTATTGATATGCCTTTTATTAAATTAAAGAAGATATTCTTAGACCAAAAAATTGTAAAACAGAATATTAAAACAGTTAAATTTACTTCAACTAGTAAGTTTAATAATAAATGTATTGGTACTTGCCTACTACCCTTGTAAACTCATATATTTACAACTTTTATCTAACAAATTATCCTAAAAATGCCTACTCTTACAACAACTGAACCAGACTCCTATGATATGGAT